TGTTATTGGTGATGGTGGATCGGTTCTCGAAATGGACCGAGTTGGTCCCCTTGAGAAAGGCCACGGTGGAAGCACTAACAAAAGCGTTCCGAGAGCGCATCGTGTCCCGGTTTGGCGTGCTGAAGGTGGTGATCACGTATAATGGCGTCCAGTTCACCAGTAGAGCTTTTAAGAGGTTTTTGGAGCAGATGGGTGTACGGCATCAGTTCACGGCCCCGTACACGCCGCAGGAGAACCCGACGAAGCGAACTAACCGGACAGTGAAAACTATGATAGCTCAGTTCACCGAAGGGAACCAGAGGAACTGGGATGAGAAATGGCCAGAGATAATGTTGGCCGTAAATTCAGGGGTGTCCGAATCCACCGGGTACTCGCCGGCGTTTGTGGTCCAAGGGAGAGAGCCGAGGCTACCAAAGGCTCTATACGATGACGAAGCGCTTGGCACAGGACAGGGCACGCCCACTCCGGACGAGAACGCTGCCAAGTTGAGAGAGGTATTTCAACTGGTGAGGCGGAATCTCGAAAGAGCGGCGCAGGACCAGGCGAGGTATTATAACCTGAGGAGGAGAGCGTGGAAACCCACGATTGGAGACAAGGTGTGGGCCAAGCGACACCATCTATCCAACGCGGCCGAAGGGTTTGCTGCAAAACTGGCCCCGAAATATGACGGTCCCTACACCATAATGGATTTCGTGTCCCCGGTCATTTGTAGGGGACCTGAAGCCACAACCCGGTGAGGAAACCCCTAAAACAAGCCCTGGAACCGAAGCGTAGGCGACGCACAAGGAGGGGCAACGGGCGAGGCATACGGAGAAGGATGGACGGGGCACGAAAGACAGAGACTAGCGGCAGGGGCAGAAAGGAGAGTCTCAAGAGGATGCCACGCAGGACAAGGTCGTACAGGATACTCTTACAACTAAGGTTCAGTAAAACTAAGAACCACTCGTGTCACGCAGGACAGGAATCGCCCACAAGGGAGGAACGGGCGGCCCGACTTAGTGCCACGCAGGACAAGGCCACCCGGAATCCTCTTTCAACTAAAATCGGCAAGGCCAAGAGGCATTAAAACTAAGCAGCAGACTGCGGCCGGCGGACGAATAAAGCTGGACCTACAAAAAAAAAGGAGGATTAGCTCGTCAGCCAAGGGAAAGAAGGTAGAAGATACCCGGGTTACCACTATCCCAGGGGGGCGGGTTGCGTGGTGCGTCGACGGACGAGGGGGCACTCGAGAAGGGGGTTCCCGAAGTTCGGGTCCGGGCCAGGACATCGAAGCCAGCTGCTAACGTCGGGGATGGCGGGACAAAAGCGGATGCCGCCCGTGCGCGGTCTACCGGCTGGGGAATCGGATGATCCCTGGGTCCGAGGCGCTGCACGGGGGTGACATCCGCGTCTAAGCCGATCCAGAGACGGGCGGAGCTGGCCACGGGGGCGGGCCGATGTTTGGCAGCACGGGCGAAAGGTCGGAGGACCTATTGATCACGGGCTGGGATATCGGTCAGCACCCTGGATCGGAACCCAAGGACGGGCTGGAAGAAAAGGCAAGGTGAGATGAGGAACCCAAGAACTCGGGAGGCTTACCAGATTCAAGGCAAAGCCAAACAACACGTCGCCAGACCTGGAAGTAGAAAGGGCCAGTAAAAAAATCGGAAAGAAGAAAGAAAAAAAAAGGAAGAAAAGGGGGAACCGAAGGAAAGCTAACAAAACCAGGGGGCACCCTAGGGTTAACGCGGCGAGAGGCGCGGATAACTTTCAAAACGGGAGCGAGCGAGAGAGCCAGCTGGAAGGCAAGAGAGAGCCGTCCCACGGGCCCATGTAAGGCACCGTTACAGGGAACGGTGAGCACCGGCACGAGCCCTTATAAAGGAGGGAGCAGCACACGATCAGGTCTTTTCAAAAAAAGTTGACCACGTGGAAAAAAGGGTAAGATGCAGCAGCATTTAATAAGGTATATAACGGAGCAGCGAAAATGGATTCGCCGCGGGTATCAAAGTCGGCGGCAGGCGTACCAGGTCGAGCGCGAGGAGCAAAGGGCGAGCAGGAGTAGGTCCCCGGAGCTGCAGTAATTGGCCTCACCGCTAGTGTCAACCGCGGGATCCATGGGACCGACGGTGTCCCCGGTGGTATCGCTGGAATTGGTGAGCTGGGAGCCGGCGACACGTAGAAAACGCGCACGCGAGGCGAAGCGCGAGGAGCCCCGGACCAGCAGACGCAAGGAGCCCCACACCAAGCGCGAGGAGCCCCAGACCAGCAGACGCGAGGAGCCCCAGACCAGCAAGCGCGAGGAGCCCCACACCGGCAAGCGCGAGGAGCCCCGCACCAGCGAGCGCGAGGAGCCAGACACCGGCAAGCGCGAGGAGCACCGGACCAGCAGACGCGAGGAGCCCCGCACCAGCAAGCGCGAGGAGCCCCACACCGGCAAGCGCGAGGAGCCCCGGACCAGCAAGCGCGAGAAGCCCCACTCCAGCAAGCGCGAGGAGCGACCTGAGGGAGGAAGGAGGGGGCGCACGGAGACGCGGAAGGAGGAGCCTAGTGAGCGGGCCTCGAAGTGGGCGTCCACGCGTTCGACGCGTACGGCCAAGGAAGAGGAATCGTCGGCACGCACAAGGGGGAGGTCGACGGTGCGGCGAGGGGATCAGCGGCCGACAGACCCACAGGCCGCGCTGGCCGCGGCGAAGGAGGAGCGGAGGCAACGGCGTGTATGGGAGGACGCCCTGACGCTGGCAAAGAAGCTGAAGGCAACGCAGGAGGCTGAAAAGGAGGCGCAAGAAGCGGAGGCGGAGCGCCACAAACGGGACGTCGCGCACCAATGGCGGATCAACGCAGCGGAGCAAAGGGAGATGGCGCGTCAGCGTGCGGAAGCGGAGAAGGCAAGGGCGACGCGGGCGGAGGGCGCGGCAGGCGGGCTGGTGGTGATCTCCAGCGATGAGGAGGAGGCGGAGTGCCCACCAGCGCAGAAGGCGGCTCGAGTCCAGTCGCCCGAAGAGGAGTGGCAGGAGAGGCTACGACGAGCCGAGGTGGAGGAGGAAGAGCTCTGGCAGCCACCCCCTGAACACGTCGAGTCCGAGGAGGAGCCACGGCCGCAGGCCCCACCGTCACCGGGGGCAGAGGAAGAGCTGTTCCAGCGTCGGCCGCCGGCTGACAGCAGCAGCATCAGCAGTAGCAGCAGAAGCAGCATCAGCAGCACTGGCACGGTCCGCAGGGAGCCGCCATCGGGCCGTTCGTCTCGCAGGAGGTGCGCTCCGCGGTACGAGACGGCATGATGTGGCACGTGCAAACGCTGGCAAAGAAGCTGAAGGCAACGCAGGAGGCTGAAAAGGAGGCGCAAGAAGCGGAGGCGGAGCGCCACAAACGGGACGTCGCGCACCAATGGCGGATCAACGCAGCGGAGCAAAGGGAGATGGCGCGTCATCGTGCGGAAGCGGTGGCACCTACAGCGCGAAAGCAACGGCGGAAGCGAAGAATGACGCGGCCGCGGGAGAGAGGTCCTTGGCGATGGCCGGAACCCGGCCAGAGCGAGCGTCCGAAGCTGGGCCGACAGGCGTCGTGCCCAGGGGAGCGGGCGGAGGCGCGCCGGCCCGAGCTCCAGCGCCAGGCATCGTGGCCCCAGACGAGGTCGGCGGACAACTCACGGTGGCGGTCCGTCAACCGCGAGGAGTGGCCGGCCGTCGTCACGCGCTCTCTCGCGCGGATAAAGCCAACCGCAAGGAGGGTGAAGCGTCTGGTCAACGACGGTGGCGTCCGGTACCGGCTGTTGGTGTCCACCGATCGGCAGGAGGTATTCCGGGCTAAGTATTGAGGAGAAAAGAAGAGTAGAGAAGAGGAATGGATAAAAAAAGAAGTAACGGAAAACAAGAACAATAAAAAAAAAATAATAATAAAAAAAAAACATGGTCTTACCTTGCGGCAGAGGAACGGCGGGCATCGCTAGAAATGATCGGGGAAGCTTGAATGAAGGCGGCGGAGGGCGTCAAAGCGGGAGGAAAACTTACCCGAAGCATCCAGAGGGCCGGCGGAAGGCATGCGCACCAGCGAAGGGCAGTAGGGAAAACCAGACGCGCACAAGAAAATCAAAGAAAACACCCGGCATCGCGAGAAAATAGTACGTTTCCAGTCCATTGAGGAATTCGCGATCCGGAAGTAGAATACGCACGCTGCGACATATCGAGTAGATCGCAAAGACGACGCTACGCTTTATCGAGTGGAGCGTAAGGGCAACGCTGTGTCATATCGAGTAGGTCAGAATAGCGACCATACCCTATATTGGGCGGGGCGAAAGAAGCTCCTATGCGAACCATCGATAAGGGGGAATCGAATCGATCGCACGCATCGAAAAGATACGGCAACACCGCAAGGCGCAAGGCCGAAAGAGGGCGCCAGGGGGCACCCGGGTCGAGAACAAAGCGCGCCGGTCGCGCGGGGTTTTTGAAACATCCCAAACCTGGGACGCGGAAAACCGGGGTTTTCCGCCAATAAAAGAAAGGGGGAAGTGTGAGGAAAGGTATTCCCACACGTAGGGGCAGTATAGGGTTAAGCTCTAACGGCCGTTATCCGGGGATATCCGGAGGCGGCGAATTCCCGAGGAGAGCTCTCCCGGGGTCCCAAGATAAGAGTTGGCCGCATTGGCCATCGCTGAATGCATTTAGACAACTTGATCCGCCTGGAGCATCGATGTCTTGGCCGACGCATCGAATAGGAATGAAAAATTACAAATGCTAAACTCGTTCGGGGTCCCCATTATCCATTTCACAAACTCCTGCTTGACGTTTGCATACCAGTCGAGTTCGGGCCAGTAGAATATCTGATAGCTTACACGTTCCTTGCGCGAGTTGTTAATGATGAAGAGGACATTCATTACCTTCAGAATGACATCCAAATCAGCATTGTATGGCATCAGCTAAAAGCGATGATGGCATTAGTGGTGGTGGTCGGTAATGGAATCAAATCCAAATCCTTACTCTTTGGGAACTCTCCAACGTTGGACTGATGGCCATCAGACCCATTTAGAAGCTGATGATGTGAATCACCACGTGCAGAAATATGTTAACCAGGCGCTCGAAGTAATCCACTGGCGTTTGGGCCAGCTATTTGTGTAGCACCTTGCTCGGATTCAGTATGGATCGGATCTGATCACAGAGGGATCAAAGATAGGTGGGGTGGAGGGATTGGTGATTGGGGATTTAATGCTGTCATGGAAGATGTACGCACCACCTGCTTTATGCTCTCATTCTCCACACTTCGTAGATGATCGAATGCCACCTCGGCGGCCTTCAGATCTAGTCCATAATTGCGTGCAGAGCAGTCAAAATGCTCGTCGTTCGAGAGCAGAAACGAGCCGTTCAGGCACGCCTGACTCTTGAAGATCACCTCCATGGACTGCAGAAGATCCAGGTCGCTCTGCTTGATATGCGCGCACTGCTGTGTGTCCTCTGCCGTCAGCGAGAGGATCGACCTCCGGAGCGAACCAGCGCGAGCGTGTGCCGATTGCCGCAGGCCATCTGGGTGATGGTGCTGCCCATCAGTTCCATGACCATGCGGGGTATCATCTCGTTGTAGCTGACGCCATGCCCCAGCTGGCCGTAGTTGCCAGCACCGCAGGTGAAGACGCCTCCCTCGTTGGTGAGGCACACGGAATACTCGTTACCGCAGGGCACGAATCTCACGCCCAGCGTGCGCATTGTCTTCAGTTGCGAGGGATACGCACGACTCTGCTCATCATTGAGCCCCAGCTGGCCGCAAGTGTTCTTGCCCCAGCCGAACACTGCACTGGACTTGGAGATGAGGAAAGAATGGTTGCCCCCACATGCGATGGTGGCCAGTGGGGTGCCCAAGATGGTCGTCAGCTGCACAGGGGCATTGAAGTGCGGCAGATCTTTGGGCGACTGGACGCCCAGCTGGCCATAGATGTTGTAGCCCCAGGAGTAGAGTTCGTCACCTAAAAGGAGGGGGGTTCACTATAGGGTGGGAATGCTTCAGAGAGGTAGAGGCTACTTACAGCTCGTGAGTGCCAGACTGTGATTGTTGCCGCACGCAATCTGCACCACCACCACCAATCTTTTGGACACTAGAAAGCACAAGATCTTTGACAGCTCAATGACATCGTTATCGGTGAAATGGCCCACCTGTCCGCAATCGTTGTCGCCGCAGCTCAGGATCTGGCCCCATTCGGTGAGGGCCATGGAATGGCGGCTGCCACAGGCAATCTGGATGACAACATAGGCCTGCAGCTCAGGTATCGGAACTGAAAAAGAGCGAGAAGAAGCGAACGGTTGAATGGGTAGTCATTTGATGCCGGTTCTTCGGGTCATGGATGGATAGAATATTTAGTGATGAAAGAGAGTACAAAACACGATTAATGAAATTTGCATACTCAACGGCGACATACGTGTCCTTTTGGTGGGCAACTCGTGGCCAAGCTGGTGGTGATCGTTGTTTCCGCAGGAAGAGCGTGTGGCGATGTCCGCAGGCAATCTGTTGCACCGGCGAACTCTATCTGACTAGGTGCAAGGATCTGCAGACGAACAAAACAAGAAAATCAAACCCGACAGTTTGTTAATGGGGTATCCAAATGTATTCCATTCCTTGTGTGCTTGTGCACAAGACTCACCTGCTCATTATCGATGCCACCAAGTCCCAATTGACAGTGTGAGGCGTCGCCCCAGCAATACAGGGCCATGGCTTTCCGTTGCACTCGATTGTTAACTGAAATTTATTTTTGTTTATTGTTGATTTTTTCGGCGTTTCTAGAAAAACTAAAAGGAAAACCGCAACAAAAAAACCAACAAATAATTGTTGCGGCCTGCCAACTTGTGGGAAATGGGTTCTATTAAGTTCTATGCTTGTTTACACTATAACACTTCCTTCACTGCCCGCTATTAAACTACGTTGGAATACAATATTCGGAAATTTCGAAATTGTTTTAAAATTTTTAGCTCCGAATCTGAATCTGCTTCAGTGCTGCTTAAATGATGACTGAATATTTGTACACAATAATGACATTCCTGCACTGTTTGCTTAGTTTGAATGTGGAAAACCCTTTGAAATACCTACTTTGTAGCAACGGCAATGATTTGAAAAAATGTATGTCATTTGGTATTTTTTTGTAGTCAAGTTGGCACTGCTAGTGCTGTCTCTGAACTGCTTGTTTTTGCGAAATCTGCCAGTGCACTGTGGGCCAGCGACCCCATCTTTCGACGTTAATTCGAAAAAATGCATGTCAATGAAACTTAATTTTATTTTAACATTTAATTAGTATATACATTAATTTAACAAAAATCAAAAATCTTTTTTGTTTTAATGCATCCCTGGCCTTTTTGCAGCGTTTTAAAGTCAGCTGTTTGATAAGCTACAATCGATAGTAAAAAACGCGGGAAACTGTTTGTTTACTTTGAGAGCTTACCAAATTGAAACTAAGTTCAAAAACTGAAATCAAAGTAATGGAAAAGAAAGGCCAGGGTATTTTGTGCCTATGTTTTTGTGTGTATTAATTTGTGTCGTCCAAAGGTAGAGAATACTTAACCAATGTGCCCGTCTCTTATGGTCAATAACTAATTTTGTGAGCAATTGTGCGAGAAAGTAATTATGTAATATTGTAGTGCAAATTGTGTATAAAATAATCCTAAAACTCGTTTTTGCGCCAATTTGCGCCGGTGTGCGCATTTTAATTTATTTGTAGGTGAGGCGGAGTTCACTTATGAAAAGCTGCTCAGTATTTACATTGAGAATAATCGAAGCGCCGCAGCACTTTCGAGTTGGATTTTTGAAGAACTGAAGGCATACAATATAAGCACGGAGAAAAAGGATGAAATAAATAATAAAGTAAGGAGCTTTTTTGTTATGAATAACAAAAACATTTTGTGTTAAAATGTGTTATATGTTATACGTATATGTTAATTGTTTTGTATTGTAAAAAAAAAAAAGAAAACCAAACCAATGTGTTCGTCTTGTGTGGAATAAGAACTAACTTTCTGCGTGTTTGTGCGTTATGTAATGTATGTTAAAATAAGGTAGAAAGTGTGTATTAAAAATAAGTAATAATCCGGTTTGCGGCTTTTTGCGGCTCTTGCGGTACTTTGAACTTTTAGATCAGCTTGAGTTCTGTCATGCAACGCTGCTGGACGTATGGATCGACAACGGCCGCAACTACCGCCCTTGCAAACTGGATAGTTGGCCAATTGACGGAATGTTCACTAACCAATGAAAACATTAGTGAAATTAACAAGAAATTTAAAAGCCTTGCAATTTATATTTCTTCGAATCTGCAAAAGTGCAACCGAAATATGCTCACATTTGGAAAAAAACATTCACAGTGGCTATCAATGCGCTTAAAAATTGTTTTGGAAAATAAAGAAGAGACGTACAGTCTTCAATTGGGTAGACCAAGGCTAACTTATGATGAAGCAGGGCCCCGTCTAAAACGAAAACTAGCTGCCGATGTAGCAATCAGTAATAAAAACGATACCAGTCTTTTAATTCATGCAGCAACAATGTCAGCCAGGAAATCATATGCAAATGATACTGCATTTTTAATGTTAGCACTTCTGAAAGCGAAGCTACTGAAGCTAAAAGAAAGCTCGATATTGTAGAACCAATACCTTTAACAACAAATGATGCTTTGGAATTCTTGCTGGAAAATTCTTTAAGCAAACGATTATATAATGAAATTCGTCAAATAAGCAAACAGCATAATTGTGACATATACCCAAGCTACCAAAATGTCCAGGAAGCCAAATTGCAATTGAGACCTGCGGGAATAACTGCTACAGAAACTATGGCAAAAGTTGCCTTGCAACATTTGTTAAACCACACTGCCAGCCGCATAATATTGTTACAGTAAGAGTTATTCGCTAACTTTGAAAACGTTTCTAGTATTACATTAATTGCGAGTTACGGATACGATGGATCAACTGGGCAAAGTATGTATAAAAAAAGATTTGAAACGAAGGAACCGGATGCTTTTGATCAATCTTTGTTTGTTACTACCCTTATACCTCTGAAGCTTATCGATGAAGCAGGAACAATTTTTTGGAATAATAGAACTCCGCAGTCTGTAAGATTTTGCCGACCACTCAAAATGGAATTCGCCAAAGAAACAAAAGATCATATTCTTGCAGAAAAAAACGATTTGGACACACAAATGAAAAGCTTGACTCCTTGAGTAGTAACAATTTCAAATGAAAAGAAGATCACTGTCTCATACGACCTTCAGATGACTCTTATAGATGGGAAAGTTTTAAACGTTTTAACGGGTACAAAATCTTGCCAATTGTGTTCAATATGTGGTGCAGGCCCAAAACAATTTATAGAAACTTATGATACAAATTCCTTTAAGCCAAATCCTCGGCATCTTCATTATGGGATAAGTCCACTTCATGCTTGGATACGCATTTTTGAATTGCTGCTTAAAATATCATATAGAATGGGGTTTAAAAAATGGAAAGTAAGAAACGAAAATGACAAATTGGAGATGATTGCCAAAAAAAAAAAACATATACAAAGAAGATTGTGGCAAGAAATGGGATTGCATGTGGATAAGCCAAAACAGAATGGAAGCGGAAACTCGAACGATGGCAACACTGCGAGAAAAGCTTTTTCAAATACGAAATTATTCGCATCAATTTTAGAACTCGATTTGGAGTTACTTGAGAGTCTGCATACTATTTTAATAGCTATTAACTGCGAATTTGCAATCGACGCTTTAAAACTTCAAAATTTCTCAGATAAAATCATTAGATCATACATGTTGCATTACTCTTGGTATCCTATGTCACCAACTCTCCATAAAATTTTAGTTCATGGATCACAAATAATAACTGCATCTGTGATGCCGGTAGGCTGTCTTGGAGAAAATGCGTCTGAAGCAAAAAAAAAATTTTACAAGCGTGACCGGCTAATGCACGCTCGACACAATTCGCGGGTAAATAATATGATGGATATATTCCAAAGTCCAAAGATCTATGGACTCTTCAGATCCCCTCTTCTCAAGAATATCCATTAAGAAGAGGGCAGCTCGACATAAAAAACAACCCCTTCCGCGAGATGTCATTGAGCTTTTAGAAACACCCCATTGGAATTTTCCAAAAAATATTCAGCCTTTAGCTATTGACTACAGTTTCGATTATGACTCGAATGAGTCGGAATTAGAGGATATAAATCCATATTCGTTTGAATTATCTGTGCAAAACAACTAAATGATAATTTAATATCAATTCTTAGAAATAGTTAAATAGTAGAATAAGAATTTGACCATAATAAGAATTGTTTATCAAAAAATTTGTTTTATATTTGTTCGGGCGAAGCCCGAGTGTAAATTTTATACCATTGTTTTATTGCCTATCAATTCACTTTCTTTTCTATTTGGTCATTATACTAAACTAACGTAACGTAAGCGTAGCTTTATCTATGCTCGCTCAGCAACATGCTCTCATTTAATCATCTATTCTTATCTATGCTCGCTCTTGTTATCTTTTCTTTCCTATGCCGTCGCTAAGCCGTCAGCAGCTGCGCCTGCTCGAGCAGTTACCGCTTGATATAGTTGGAGAACAGACCCTTTTGTCCCCAATCTATTACTTTGGCTCGAGATCGGCTCGCTTGCCTCATCCAAGTGTGTCACTCTAATACTATTGTAAAAGGCTCTGGCATCTTCGGCCACCCTCAACACACAAAATACCTATAATAAAATTTATAACGTTTTCGGAAATTAATAATTTGTGAAATTATTGAACAATCATAGTCAGCGAAAAAGCTCGTTGTCTCAACATTTGGTGACCCCGACGTGATCGTCAGTAACAATTTGGAAATAAACAATTATAAACAGTGAAAATTATCCGCTAAACATAACTGTTCGAACGCGAAGCGGTTAGTTCCCATTTCGTCGCGCGCTTGCTTACAAGCACTAATACAGCTACGTGCATAAGCGGCTTCGGGTTCGCTGCACTTGCGCTTGCATACCAAAAAAAATCAAACGGTTGGTTCTTCGATTCTTCTTTGTGCTTTGCTCGCTGCTGCCTGTCGAAAATGGATGAGTCTAATGACGTGCCGGAAAACAGGGTGTCTTTTTACAAACTAAAGGCACTCTCAATATACAACAAAGCCGTTTCACTTCGAGAGACGATATTGAATGATGAAAACAACCCAATCAGTGAAGATGCGCTAAGTGTTCATTTAAAATTCTTGGAAAAAATATCCGACTCATTTAATGTTACTCATTCTAATTTAGAAGAGCTTGATGTAAGCGAAATTGGCAGCGACTTAAGCAACAATTTTGAGGATTTGGCGATGGAAATCGAAGTTCGTATTCGCTCAGCACTCCGCAGGACTACCCAGAACATGCCGCATCACTCAACGATACGACCCGAGCTCAACGTTACTGCCTCCGGAAATGTACGGTCACGATATCATATTCCTGACATTAAACTTCCCACTTTCCGTGGAGGTTATACTGAGTGGGCAGACTTTTACTCGATGTTTAGCACAGTAATAGATCAGGAGCCCTTTCTATCAAAGATTGAGAAGTTCCAGCACCTGCGCTCATGTTTGGATGGACCTGCCCTGGAGGCTGTTCGCTCTTTGGAAGTATCGGAGAGCAATTATGATATTGCATTGGACATTTTAAACAATCGTTTCAATAATAAACGTTTAATCTTTCAGGCACACGTCGCTGAGATTCTGAGGCAT